TTTTGTTTTTGCAATCTGTATTTTTTATTTGACTTTTGCCTATTTAGGTAGCCTGACTGTGCCGATTTCATGTTAGGTGCAGTCTTCCATGTAGCAGAGGGGAGGGGAGGGGAGGAAAAAAAATTTCCTTAATATGATTTTGCTACTGAAGGAGTAGGTCAGGGGACTCTATTTGCTCTTTCTCTGGGCAAACTGTCTTCCCGGTGAAGAGTCATCTGTGTTCCTTGGTGTCAGTAAGAGTTTACATAGTTGCCATAGTATAAACCAAATTCTGTTCTAACTCTGACTTGCCCTTTATTATAGACTTGACTGGAGAGACTCCCCCGGTGTAAATGAAGTGCTTTCTTTATTAGCAGCCGGGCAGCGGAGGCGAGCTCCCTGTTCTGGCAAATGACTGCCATGCTCGGGGATCGAAGGCGTCCTCCAGGGGCAAAGGGTGTCGAGTGCCAAGAGAAAGAAGCCATAGTCAACAAGGTGCTTTACAGTCAGGACAGTTTCTCTCTCATCTTCAAGTGCTTAATTGTGTTTGGATAAATTACGGAAATTAAAAAAAAAAATCAGAAGTTGCTCATTGGGAAATAACCCTCTTTAAAAACAAGTTAAGTCTCCAAGGCAGAGCCAATAGAACCTTGGCAGCAGATCCTGAGGTTGGCTGGGTTAAAAGTACAAACTGTATGGGCCAGAGAAAGCTGACAGAACTGGGTTCAAACACCAGCCCCGGCACTTGGCTGAATTACATTAGGCAACTCATTTGAACTGCCCTGGGTCTCCTGTTCTTAACCTTTAAAGTTGGGGGTATTGGAAACAACAGGAGTTTGAGAGGGAAACGTGTGCAAGGGCACCGAGCACTGTGCCTGGCACTGGAGAAAAGTTTGCCCCCTTCCCCTCTCCTCCTTCTGGCCTCTGGCCCTAAGATCGGCCCCATCACCCTCTTCAGGCGGCCATACTGTGGAGGATGTAGATGACAGTCGATGCCTCGGTTGTGTGTAATGCCATTGGAGTAGTCTGCAACCAAAGGAGGTTTCAGGAAAGAATCCCTGAGTTAAGCCAGTTGAAGACTGAACGAATAGGGGGCGGATGAGCCCGTGGCACCCCCACCGCACTCCAGCCCTAACGAACTCTGCTCAGATGGTCTTTACTAATCATCGAAGTTTTTTTTTTTTTCTTTTCTTAGACAATATGCTTTCTCTGTCATGTAATAAATGTCCTAGCAACTTCTAGTATACTGCGGGAGACTTGCTGTCCTCTCCAGAGCCAGAGTTGTATTTTCAGAAATTGGGGGGCAAATCGGGAAGTTCTAGGGAATACAGTTGCTGATATAAATAAAAATCCAGTTTGATGCTGTCTTAAACCTCACCCATACACACCAATTAGCAGTCAAAAATGTCTGTACATGTCAGACATTGTTCCGCCCTTAAAATAAATTACCTTGCTGTTAACAGCCTTATTTAATGGCTGCAATGTATTGTACCTACTTGATTTCTTTTGCCCAGAACATGTGCTATTTCTGCCTTGACAGTGTATCTGCTAATTGAGTTTTAGAAAATCAGGAAGGTTTTTTTAAACGGATTATTTAAGAAAGGTACCTACGTTGCCTGTTTGTACCCTTCTGCTACACTTCAAGTTGTGTTCTGTAACAACCTAATTGTCGTGATATCTGTTTCAAGGGGAAATTTATCAAGTCAGAGTGCACCCTTCTGTTTGGAAGAAATATTTGAGGATGTGAGCAGAAATTATTTTTACATAAAGGCTTCAGGCAGTTAAGAGTACTGACATACAAATTGTATTTTCATCACTGTCACTCACATTTGGCGCCTCAAATAAATAGGTCATTATTATTCCATTGCAGCATATCCTATGGTGCCTCGAAGTATGGAGCTCTGTTTAATATAACTGCTGTCCAGCTGACCCGTGTAATTTATTGGTGATTTTTACAGTGACATTCTTGGGCCACCAGCATCAGCCAAGGCACTTTGATCTCTTTCAGCAAAATACTTCATTATCGCTTGTGATTTTTTAGCCTTAGTGTTATAACCATGTTAACATAGCTAGGAACTGTCATTTTCTGAGACATCGGATTTGAGGTTGGCTTTAGCAATTTCAAAAAATAATACGGTAATGATGATGACACCACCGTGGATTTGCAGAACACATCATGTGCCAGAGCCCACGAGGGCAAAAATGTGCAGATGGCAAAAATTTTACCTGAATGACTTCATAATAGCACACTAAAGTGATTTGGTCTTATGTTACCTAGTTATAACTAATAATTAAGAAGGTGTAGACTTTTGAACAGACAAACCCCTTCTGATTCTGTTTTATTACCTTAACTGTGCAAAACACAGAATCACGGTCACCTCCTCTTTGTCTCCATCTCCGATGCTAACATCTGATAGCCTTAATGTGGATACAGATGCTACTCAGGAAGAATATACCGGCATTCCGAGGGAGGACTAACACTAAAAGGTATAGTTCGTCCCACAGAGAGTATCTTATTAGGGTCCATTTGAATAGCAACTGGCTTGAAGTTCCGGCACCCCCAAGATGGTGGTTAGGATCTATCTGTAAGGCGTGGTTGATGTTGAAGGGATTGAGGCCTATCCCCGGGTGGCCTTTCCATGGGTTCCTTTTGGACATGGAAGATTCTTACTTACGATGGTAGCAAACTTCTTTAGATGGAGGAACTCTCCACCCGCAACCGAGTTGGACCCTATTTGGTATTCTAATCGCCTCAGGGCAAGTCCCGTGACTTCCGACCGATGCAACATTGGAATTGGGTGGTTTAATTTTTCCTTAATTTTCTTACTAGATTGGGTTACCCTGAGGAAATAAGGGTATCGTCCTTTCTGTACATACTTTTGCCAGGGCCAGTGAAAAACTACCTTGAAAAGCTTGCTTGATTGGCAAGAATTCCCCTTTCCTTGTTCTTTTCTCAAATCTGGGAATACACTGCTCCCTCCAGCTGGCTTCTGAATTCTGTGTTTGTCAGAGAAATCTATGGTGGGAAAAATAAGCATTCCTTCGTGGGTTTTTTTTTTGTTTTGTTTTGGTTTTTTTTTGATCACTTTTTCTCTTGGTTGTTATTCCACAACATTGTTCGGCCCACTCAGCCTTCACTGCTGGATCAAGCTAGGGAAAATTTACCCTTTCGCTCACTGCAAGCCCAGTAGGCCTGCGTTCCTCACACCTAGGTTAATTCCCTGCGTCAGAGATCTCAGGGCTGGGTTTTACTTTGGTTGGCTCCTTCAAGCACCAAGAGTTTTTGTTTGTCTGTGGCTCTAATAATTTTGTCCTTACCCCTAGTTCCCACCTTTCTAATCCTCTATCAGAGGCTGCTCTCTTTCTAGGTGGATTTGGCTTAAAGCCATCTCAGACACCCTTGCCACACACTTCCTCGCTGTGCCCTGCCAAAAAAGGATCCTTCAGCAGAAATATGATAGCAGGTGGAAATCCTCCATTTATTCTAATTGCATCTCTATTTGTGCGCCCGCTCTCTCACTCCCTGTCTTGCAGTAGTGTTTATCTTTGGTCTTTGTTTCTAAATGTGACAAAGTTGGGTTTAGGGCTTTTCTTTTGTGTTTGTTTTGGTGGGGGGAGTGAACGAACCACCCTGATCTATAATTACCTAGAAAGCTTGGGAAGAGGGGCAGTGAGCCTTCATCCTTGTATCCACACTGAACACGTGGGGTTGCCTGATTAACGTTGGGATTTGACAACTAGAGAGAGGATGGTGATGGTGATGATGACGGCAGCCACCATTTATTCAGTTTTATAAGAAGCTAGACACGGTGCTAAATGCTTTAGATTTATTACCTTCCTCAGTCCTTCCGACAGCTCTCTGAGAGGGCTTTGAATTACTGTCCCCATTTTGCAGATGAGAAACTGGCTCAGGGACTTTAAATACTTTACTTGAGGTCATACAGCCAAAAAGCAATCTTCCTCTTCCCCTTCCTGATCGACCATTATACACATTTCCCACTCCACACTTTTTATTCCATACGTGAAGATTAGATACCAGTTTTCACTCACGTGGCGGCTTCTGAAAGGCCAGGACAGTGCCCCGTATTTCTATGTCCTCTGCTGTGCTGGGTGCAGAATGGGACATTCTACAATTACTTCATCTTCGGCTGATGAATTGAATTCTCCTCTTCTCCTACCTGCGCTGTGGATCATACGGGTCATTTGTGAGGGGCCCTGACTGCTGTCACTAATCATAGAAACAACAAACGAGAGCAGATCTGGAGATGAGCCTTCGATCGGTGGATCTGAACGCCTTGACTTTGTGCCAAGTTCTGAAAGAGAACGTCTACATGGCTAGGTGGGGGTGATCGACAGAAGGGGCCTGGTTTGGGACCGCCTGGGGCTTTGGGTGAGTCGTGAAGGCGTGAGTTTCTGAGAGCAGAGTAACCGACTGAACTCTAAGCCTTCCCAGGGTATTACTGGGATCCCAGAGCTTCCTACTTGGGTAGGTCCTGGCTCCTACCCAGTAAACAGTGGGACGGCCTGTACCTTGGGAATGACGACATCCGCCAACAAGATGAGATTATTTCCTGAGCCCTCCTCCCTACTTCTATTAAGTGGCCCCTTGAGTTTTCTGTGAGGCGACCAAATAGCTTAGCTCAAGGGCATGTGAGCTGAGGTGGAGGATATGCTTCTCCCCTACTCCATTCGGGAGAGCTGCAGCTTCTTAGAAAAGTCAGCTCTCCGACCTTTCCATACCTTTCCAGCGCACTCCTCAACTGGTACAAGAAACTGGGGGCTGGGACGTGGGCATCACGACTTTTGAGAGCATGTTGATCCCAGGCTTAGTCACATTTTGCCCCTGGGTCTCTCTGGGATCAACGGACTCACTTTGTGGACTGAGGAGGAAGATGGGAGCCACCCCAGTATCGCCCTTGGTGCCCATTTTGGAATACGTTTCTTGTCTTTTGTTCTAACTGAGCCATTAACCAAATTTTAATTGATGGAAATCCCTTTCTCCTTTTTTTTTTTTTTTTAAGGCGATGGACAGAATTTGTTTACGAAAGATGTGACAGTGATCGAGGGAGAAGTCGCAACCATCAGCTGCCAAGTCAATAAGAGTGACGACTCTGTGATTCAGCTGCTGAATCCCAACAGGCAGACCATTTATTTCAGAGACTTCAGGCGTAAGTTTCTATCTCTGTAGCATTAGGTGGCAACTTTTTTTTCTTACATGTTGTCTTGATAAAGAGATTACCAAGGCCTCCTTTTCTAAATTTAATGTTAGATGCTTAAAGTTTAGTCAATTCTTCAGAGGGAAGAAGAGACATGCAATCATAATCTTTCTACTTAATAGAAACCTTGAATGGTCCCTTTTAAAAGTAAAGCAGTCTTACTTTGCAATAGGAATTGATTGTAGTAATTCAAGGTGAATTGCAATTGAGTCCCAAATACTTAGCTGACACAAACAACTCAAATAGGGTAAGGCAAGGAAAATAGAGCATTCTGAAGGGTAATCTGTTTGGTTTGAAGATGGAAGTTTCCAAGGCAATGTGTGCCTATAAAGACAAAGCCAAAATCTCCTATCACCGTAACCTCTGGTAGACAGAGGTTACCATGTGCTGAAGTCTTAGCAAATGTGGTATCCCAAAAAGTAATCGTTGGAACTTAATTGTGTATCCCAGAAATGGTTCAAATGGATCTCAGAGCTTTAACCGGAGCAGGAATCAGGTCTTTCCCAAGATCGCTCTTTGGGAGCATGGGTGCCTAATCAAAGCAGATGTCCCTTCACATCTGCTTGTCCCCATTCTCCCCAATGGCCCAGAACATTCATGAACTGTGGAAAGAGTTGATAAAACTAAGGAACAGCTCAGAGCACGAAGGAAGGTAAAAGAAGAGGAGCCAGCCATTTTTAGAGTGAATTTTTGTCATTATAAATGAATTTAGCCTTTGCCAAAATTGACACAAGGACTTTAAAAGTGAATATTTGAAATTAATAAAGAGCCCACAGACATGATTTTTGTGGTGACTCTGATTTCCTGCTTTATCCTCATCTGTCTCCCACTGTGAAGTTGAATGCAATTAGGAAACTGCAGGCGGGGTCTGAGGCTTTGGGAGGCCCTGGGTCGTGGACTCTGGGCAGCTGCACCTCCAACAGTACCAAATACAAAGGTGCATCCAAGTTAAATTGGATTGTTTTGCGATGAATTTTTTTTTAATTATTTCCATCTTGTTTTTGAAATTACTGATAGTGATTTTTTTTATCTTCATAATTTGGAACTGCTTTTTTTTTTTTTTTAAGGGGCCCCAGATTTTTTAGAGACAACTCAAAAGCCTCTATAGGTCCTCCTCCCTGAACTTTCAGTGCCCACAGCCTGCGCTTTCGTTCTGTTTTCATTTTACTGAACTCCGGTGGAGAATCTGAAACAGTTTACGAACAAGGGCTGGAAACTGACAGCAAGGAGCACACACGTGCGTGCCTACACCCATAAGCCCTCGTGTGTGTCGGTTTCCTTTCGGACAAGGTTATTTGTCTACATGCAGTTATTGCAGAAGCCCAAAATAGTAATTCAAGAAGCATGAAGCAGTACTCAACAGGTGCACGAAGACTTAATCGACTTTTCTTCTCTGTAGTGGCTTTTCGAGTCTCCTAATGTTCTCCTCCCCTAGATAAGGAAAATGGACTGTGTGTCATGTCTTCCTACTAATCACTACCTCTGTGTTTTGTTTCACAGCTTTGAAGGACAGCAGGTTTCAGTTGCTGAATTTTTCTAGCAGTGAACTCAAGGTGTCGCTGACAAATGTCTCAATTTCGGATGAAGGGAGATACTTCTGCCAGCTCTACACTGACCCCCCACAAGAAAGTTATACCACAATCACAGTGCTGGGTGAGAGACGCGTGGGGGTGTGTCCTGGGAAACGGAGTGGGAGGGCCCTTACTACCGATGGCTTCCAGCAGCAAGGAAGAGGTTAATGGTAAATTTTGCTCCTCAAACCTGTTTTAGGAAGAATCAACGGCCATCTTGCTGAATTTTAAAAATAGCCTATTTTACCAAACACTCTAAGGAATGGCAGTCAGCAGTCTTCGTAGATCCCACCTGCTCTTGGGTTTCAGCCCTCAAGCTTCAGAAGCAAAGATCAAGAGAATTTAGAGCCCTCAAATGAATCACTCACCACATGAAATGTCATTGCTTCTAAATGACCAGGATTTTCTTTTTCCCCTTCTGTGCAGGAGTGGAGGAGGTGGGCTACCACATCTATACCCCATGACAGCGCTCGCTTATAAAATCTGCTTAACAATTTTTCCGTCTGAGTTACATCTCATTTAATATTGTTGATCTCCTTACCTTCGGCTTTACTCACCGCCTTGTGTATTGCTTATACCCTAGACGATGCTATAAAAATCATACCCCACGAACACACACTTTGCCACAAATTGCAACCATTGGACATAAAAGAATTAAGAGCTTCTAGGGGCGAGGAGGCTGATAATAAGCAAGGACTGTTGACAGGCTGCTAAGGACACTTCTAGGGAGTTGAATGTCTTAACAGTCACCAGATTGTGATTTTCAGGAAAACCCCAGTAGCTAAGTTTCCATATTTAGATTTTGATAGAGTCAGCAGATACTCTTGTGTTGAAGGTGGTCTGAATTAGTCACCTCTTAGACAAACGTGTACACCAGTACGTAACAGCAGCTGATGGGGATTTTTGAAAGCGAGTTTTCAAGGACGTACACTATAGAATGAGGCAAGATCTCTGATTTACACCTTCAGAAAGACGATGAATCAAAGTCTATTTGAGGCGGCAGAGTGCAGCTTTTCGGTGTAATGATATGAAGATTAAGGAAGAAAGATAAACATGAAGGACATTTCCGCTTGGTGTGTGTGAACATATATGTATTTCTGGACGTACATACTGGACTGCTGCCTCGGGAAAATATTTTTTCATTCATTAACCTAAAACATGTCCCTAGTGCTTACATACATGTTCTTGATGAGAGTAATACTGATTAGGAAGTCCTGTTCCATGTCAGGTCATGCAGCTTCTACCTTGGTCTGTGTTGGACAGTAGATCACTTGCAGAGGTACATGTCTGCTTTCATTTTAGCATTAATCCCTATTAGACCTGCAGAAATAATCAGCGTGGAAGGTTTTGCTGGGATGACTTAATTTGGTGTTTTTCAGGTGCGCCTTGAGGTTTTCTGTCCATGTAGTTGTTGAGAAGTATTTGAAAACACTGTGCAGCCAGTGAGTTACTCCAATAAGCAGACTTCAAGCCGACCATCTGCCCAGTGACCCGTCACTGGTTATGGCCTTTCCATAAGAGTAATAGCAATGGAATGGAATATTATAGCTTTCAGGGTATTTTTCTACCTATACCTTTTAAGTATGACCATCCTCCACAGGAGGAAATGATAAGAAGAGAGATGAGCCATGCTGCCTGGGTTACAAAGCACATGGTGCAAATCTAGAATCTTAGACCTTGAAACAGACCCTATTGTTCTGTCTCACAACCTTTGTGTCTTTTAGCCTGGGTTGTTTTCAATAAAATCCCAAATGTGCCTGAAGGTGCACCTCTTTTGTTTTTGGGAGTAGGTCTGGCCACAGGCAAGCACTGAATGCCTGTCAGTTTCCGGAATCTGGGACATTTGTTCGCGGACCCACTGGATTGGGCCAGTTTGACTGAATATACCCAGTGCTTGGGAGTCAACATGACAGCACTAGACTTTTGAGAGGCATTTATGCCTGTAATCCTGTTGGAGGTCTGATTATTCTAGAAGTAATAGGTTCCTGCTTGTCTTGTATTGAAGCATTAACTTAAACATACTTGAAAGTAATACCAGTAGATGCTCTTTCTGCAGATATTATGTATTCATTTAATATTCTTGCCACTGAATTGACTCTGGGAGTCTTTGACGGAGTGAAATTGTTGTCATCAGTGTTTGAGTCTTTCACATTCCAAAATCTGACAATTTCCACTGATACTCATATATTCAGACCTTTTTCCTAAGGTTTAGAATTTTCAGATATTCTAATGAATGAAGAGTGATCTATTAGCATCTTCGTTTCTATCTATGGTTCTCTGAAAAGGACTCCATATATACTTACACAGCTGTCAAACTTCTTCATAGGTTGAAGATGCTCATTTTAGTGCATGTGTCTATTAGCTGTTTGAAGCATTCAGCAAAAATTTCAGCATAATTACCAGACGTAGAGATGGTTATTTGTTAGTTACTATTACGTGTATTATCTGATCCATGTAAAAACTGAAAACTCGCCGATGATATTTTGCATGCATTTGGGTGCCTTTTAGGATATCCATTCACTCGCTCCACTTGTGTGAGTTGGTTCCTTTCTCTAGATTGTAGTGTAGAACTCTCTTTATACCAGTATTCGTGGAAACAGCGGAATGAGAAAGAGAATACACCGCTTTAAGATAAATATAGTTACTGATAATAGCAGCTAATATTATTACAGTTCTGTCCTTCTAAGATTAGTGTTCACTCCTAAGATTCCAGGAGCAGGAGAACCTAATTATTTCAAAGGGTTTTGGAGTGAGATTTCACATACTGATCAGCTTTAAGACTCCTCTTTTGTTGTAATTAACGTGTGACTCATCTTGATATTGCTGATTTTTTTTAATGTTGTAGGCGTAATGTTTATAATGAGCACTCTTATAGATTTGAGGTTAGCTAAGAAGAACCTTGACATTTCTTTGCTATTTTCTAGTATTTCTCACTGTGATTTCCATTCAGGTTTTCATCTGTATGCACCTCCTTACATACATCTTTGGTTATTTTCATTAATGGCCGCAGGCAGTTTTTACTAAATGTGTCTGTTTAGTAGAGCACGTTTAAGTGTATTCTCTGGTTAGTAGCAGTTTTAATTCATTTTTCCCACAAATGGATTTTTATACTTTACTAATCACTTTTGTATTAGAGTAGACACTGTGGAGTTGAAGGGAAAACAGGGTACAATTAATAGACCAAAATAAATTTCAACTTTTTCTTGTCCGACCCCATTCTTTTCTTTTTAGAAAGACTTAAATCACCTCGTTTATGTTTTCCAAAGCTTTTTTGCTGTTAAAAAAAATCAGAGAAGTCACCTTTATAATATCAATAAACCATTGTGACCCACATGATCAGATTTGATTTTAGGTTTGCAAACCACACAGCTCCCACTACGCTTGACTGTTTCTTCTCATCTTAGTAAAGTCAGAAATCCTGGCCACACTCTTGAGAACACTGTGGACTTGGAATAAAATCACTCAGTTCTTTCTCAGGGTGCTCTTCTCGATGACAAATAAGTCCTTTATTTTTCTGCACTGGTCCCGTTTTCCACGACGTGGCAAGTTGTCCACATGTTTACTTTAGCTATGAAGTTAGATGATGTCAGCTGTTCGGGAAGTTGACCCGAGGACCTAGCATGGGTACTGGCGTCCTCCGGAAGGGTTAGGGGACTTGACGGTATATGTGTTGCAGGAGAGGAAGAAGCAGCATAAGTGATGCCAAGCAGTAGGTAATCCATAACAAAGAGGGTCTCTTTGCTGCTGGTCAGGCTCTGAGCATCCAGACAAAATCTAAGAGGCATTGGTAGGTGTTCCTCTGGCCTCGTTTATACGTGCACTTTTCCATCTCCTTCCTTTGAACCGGCAGACATGATTGGTAATACAGACTCTGGTCTCCGTGACCGCCTCCATCTCCCAGAGAGAAATACCCTGGAAGAGGAACAGCTAGTGGCGGTCAGGGGGATCCTGTAATGAGGAGAGCTAAGCTTTCAGGCCATGAGAAAGGAGAGCATGAAGGAAAGAGCCCCAGGAGCACACAGGACACAAATGCCTGACAAAGCCTGTGTTGGAGGCTGGGTGCCATTGAGACTTGACTGTGGTGTGTGCTGGAAGCTCTTAACAGGTCGGGGATCTCTTCCCGTCAAGATTCCCAGGTCACCACAGAGCCACCAGCAGGGTTTTTCTCCAAAGTTACACAAGCAGGCTGGAATCCGATGGGCTCCATTCCCTTCTTTGTCCTATCCAAAGAGGGCTGCTTTCCTGGAGTCTCCCCTACTCAGTTTGAATTTTCTTAAATTGCGTGCTATCTCTTCAGTTACCGTACTCGATCCCGTTTCTCGTTGGGTGGCATGGCATATGCCAACATCAAGAATGATTTCCATCACTCTTATTTTTGTCTGAACCTTAACAGGAATTACTATTGTCTGACTTTCATTTCTCCATGTGGGGGGCGGGGGGGGGCGTTCCTATGTCTTTTACTCTATGGTGGTTTTGTCTTCCTGCCTCCTACTTTGCTCCCCCTAGTTCACCGAGATCTTATTTTTTTCAGGCTTGGGCAATCTTTTCCTCTGACATTTGCTCTAACAATAGCATTTTATTTCAATATTCCTACGATACCACACTCAGAATTTGGTACTTTTGTTGGTCCAAAACATCTAGTCTCTGTGTGTATTCCCTATCAACTCTCAGGGTGTGTGTGATGAAAATCTGTAACCATCCCGATTGTCATCTGGCAAGAATATCCACGTTCAGGAAATAGCTAGCTGAAGTCGTCCCATTTACTTTTGTTGCTGCCTTTCTGTGTCACTTAAAATGCTGGCAGATGTGCAACTCCAAATTGGATGTTAGACTATCTCTCTTTACGCTTGTTTGTTTGTTGTTGTTGTTTGTTTGTTTGTTTTTTTAATGCAAGCGAGGGTAGTTCTCTGCCATGTTTAACTACTCATTTGGGCCATATCGCTTTGGCAACACATCCAATTGAGCAACTGTGTTCTTTTCCTTTTATACAGAGAACAAAGAAGAAACCTGCTTTTTCTCTAATATTCACCCCCCCACACGCACACACCCCACACACTGTCTTGCTGAGGAATATATGCAACATACCATTTTTCCTTTTTCTTCTCCATCGTTCTCTCTAGGAATTTTCAAGTGCTTCAATTCAATGTAAAAGTCTTCCTGCACACAGAATTTTACATTGGCACTCGAACAGTTGGAAATCCCAAATACGTGGTTTAATCCCATAATTTATTGAAGCGGTATCAGAGATTTATTATTCAACTTGATCATCAGGATGGCATGTTTATACATATTTAATTTCTTGTTTCTCTTCTGAGTTGAGAAACTTATTAATCATAAGTCTCAGAACTGTCTTTGCTTATTCATGGTGGTCAGGGCACATAGTCTGAGATTCACTCTGCTGAATTCCGTATTCTTACTGATTTTTATTTCAAGAAGTTTCGTCTTGTGGTAAGGGTGCACCTGATGTGAAGTCTCGCCGTCAACTCCGTTTCATAAAAGATAACATGCTTTTTCACCATCCCTGTCACCCTACCTACTCTGGATTTGATATTTCGCACTTTATACCCCAAATATTTTATTCTATCTTATTACATATGCTTAATATGCTTAAAGAAGAGTGGTTTTAATTCTGACATATAAAATGGACTTGCAGGCACTTAATAGTCTTTTTCACTTTTGCTTTCTAAAATCTGGAGCATCAGATTTCAGAACATGGAAAAATTACTACAAAATAACTGGCATGTCCTATCTTACTGCATCTTCCCATCCAGTGGATTTTATTACTACGCTGTCCATTGGAAGTCATGATTGTATCCCAGTTCTCTGTGGATAATTTTAACTGAACAAAACTGGTTCTAAAGCACAAGTTTTCTGTGTGTGTTTATGGTGAGTGATTCTTTTAAGGGACTCTAAGTTTTTGATCTTTGCTGGTTGTCTTTGGAATCTTTCATATGAAGATTGAAATCCAAGGGTTGAGTTCAAGGACAGATAGTCCTTCCAGATCCTTCCTGATGAGGATGATAAATTCATTCAGGTGTACTCGTCTTACTTTTAGATCTACATTCTGGTCAGTTTTCTAATAACCGATGGATAACTAATACTGCTGTTGTTATAACTTGGTCACTGATAACTTAGGAGCGGGAGGCTGGGCATTTTATAGGATAACTTTAGGAAAGAAATTCTGAATTAACAAACTTTCACATAATTCACACTCTTTGATGATGACTTTTGTACGTCTCTTTTCCCCTCCGGTGGCAGTTTGTTTTAAAATCCCATCAGGAATGTCCATTAGTTGTCTCCTCTTTTTGGTAGTAGTGGTGGTACGAATTTCTCATGAAAAGAAGACCATATGCAGAAATGGATTCTGTGTTTAATTTGTAGTCCCACCACGCAACCTGATGATCGATATCCAGAAAGACACAGCGGTGGAAGGCGAGGAGATTGAAGTCAACTGCACTGCCATGGCCAGCAAACCAGCCACGACCATCAGGTGGTTCAAAGGGAACAAGGAGCTAAAAGGTGAGACGCAGCCTGCCCTATCCGGAAGTAGTGGGCAGGCCCCTGACTCCAGCAGGGCCACACCTTGAGGGAAATTAAAGATGAATGCCAAACATGCCCCTAAAACAAAAATGCCCACTTAGATAGGGCTCGTAATCAATTACTAAATGCGTCTGAAGCTGGAGCATAAAGGCATTTTATTGAATCTAATGCATATCCTCCCCCTGTTGTTTGAGGGTTTGTGGTGATAGGTATTGCTAGATTTTTTTTTTTATTATGTCATGTTAATCACCATACATTACATCATGAGTTTTTGATGCAATGTTCCATGATGCATTGTTTGTGCATAACACCCAGTGCTCCACGCAGAACGTGCCCTCTTTAATACCCATCACCAGGCTAACCCATCCCCCCACCCCCCTCCCCTCTAGAACCCTCAGTTTGTTTTTCAGAGTCCATCGTCTCTCATGGTTTGTGGTGTTGCTAGATTTTGACTCCGATGCTCAGAAAGAACTAGAACTCTTTAGACCAGGAAGAGTCACGGTTGGTGGTGTCCCCTGAACTCCGGGTGTCCATGTTGTCCCTCAGTTCTCATTCACCCTGTGACCTCGGGTGGGTCAGCACCCCAGATTCTCACGTTGGACATTTTAAAAAAGGCTACCGGTCTTGGTGGTGAATTCCGAGTCATTCTAACATGGATTACTGCGCCATCAGCTTGCTGACCGTGCTTTCCTGTAGGGGCAGGTGTGTTAAGTATAGGAAGGATCATATCCTAATTGTGGATCTGCAGGCACCCCCTTTCTCATGGAATCTGTAACTCACGTGCACGTTTCACCAGCCTGCTCTTTTGCAAAGTTTGCAGTTTGTGATAGTGATGCAGGCCACTCCTTTAACCTTGGCCTAGGCCACCCCAGGGTTGATTCCTGTACCCTCAAATATCTGCCCCCTTAGCCAGCGCCTCAGCCACAGCCTGTCCCCTAGTTGACCCTTCTGTGTCAGTCATCCTGAGTTAACACGTGTGTGTCGGCCTTCCTACCCCTTGCTTTCCAAGGTTGCTTTGCAAGTAGTAACTGGGGGCCAGACAGCTCTGGTCATTTGACAGAAACGTCAGCTGTGTTTAGCAATTTCTGCTAATATGGGGATATTAATATTACAGATTGTAGGAGATTCTCAGGCAGATGAAATGAGTGAATGTTTGTAAAGCATGTAGCTGGTATCTGGGCCAAGGTAAGTGCTCAGTGTGTGCTTCTTAAATAAATCAAGAGTGCCAGGAAGAAAAGAATAAGGCCTTTTAGAAAGGGGATATAAAAATCTATATCTAGAAACAGATAAATCTATATATAACAGCTTAAGTTTCAAAAAGCTTGCTCTGTTTTAATCTCCTATTTCCTAGGTATGGTTTTGGGAGGAAGGAGTTTCTCATTTCCCCTCTTCTTTTCTAAGTGAACTGAGCCATTAAATGCGAACCGATAAGTACAAAACATTAAAAGAAAGTTAACGGTACTCCATGTCCCGGGGAGTGCTGAGTCCAGGAAAGGGGCTGCCTTGGCCTATTCATCCCATCCGGAAGCCTCCCCCCTCCTCTTATGGGTGTTCTTGGACGAGGCTCCCGTCTGGCCCGAAGCCTCTACCTTACTTTGCTCTCCCCACGGCCACTGCGGGGTTGTTGTTGTTGTGGTTGTTGTTGGTTTTTGTGGTCTTCTAAAAGTCTCAGAGTTTAAACATTTCAATTACAGTTTCAATTATGTAAATCCATTTAGTTACTTTCCCTCTTAATTGTTGCTGATGGGGGTGGGCAGAGGGGATTGTTTATATCTCTATTCCTGATTGAATTACTTCGGAGATTTGGATGATGTCCTGGAATTTTTAAACCGCATGACAGCCTACTCGACGTTTCAAGTTCAGATGGTGGTTAGGGGTGAAAAGCACTTCTCTTTTCCTCCTCCAAAATGCCGTAAGCAGTCAGATGGCAAAGTGGTTCAACTTTCAGCTGCCTTTTTGTGGGAGGTTTTAAGATAGAAGACAACATATGTAATATATTTAAATAAAAATAGTATCTATTATGTGGGGTAGAAATGCATCTTACATACTATCCTGTAAGGTTGGAAAGTAGAAAATTATCATTTTACCCATTATCTACCCACAGTTTAACCTTATCCCGAGTGGCTTCCATCATCTTGGTTAAAATAGCAATGTCAGGGCAGGGAGAGGAGTCTATAGAAACAGAGTGATAGGAATTCATGCAACTCTGAGTTCTTGGTATATTCCGTGTCCCCCAGGCAAATCGGAGGTGGAGGAGTGGTCAGACATGTACACTGTGACCAGTCAGCTGATGCTGAAGGTGCACAAGGAGGATGACGGGGTCCCAGTGATCTGTCAGGTGGAGCATCCAGCTGTCACCGGAAACTTGCAGACCCAGCGGTACCTTGAAGTACAGTGTGAGTACCTGTCTTAGTCCGTTCAGGCTATTCTAACAAAGTAGCACCAAGTGAGTAGCTCATAAGCCACAGTCATTTATTCCTCACCATTCTGGAGGCTAAGAAGTCCAAGATCAAGGCGCACCAGCACGGTTGTGTTCTAAAGAAAGCCTTCCCTCTTTCTGGTTCGGAACCACTGCCTTCTTGCTATGTCCTGTCAGGGCGGAAGGGGCTAGAGATCTCCAGAGCTGCTTTCAAAGGCCCCGCCTCCTCATATCATCCCAGTGGGTATTGGGATTTCAACATAGGAATTTGGGAAGGGAGGGACACAAACGTTCGTTCAAATCGTAGCAGTACCTGAGCATTTTATCCTGAGGGCATAGAGTAGCAGTTGCTTAAAAACTCTTCAGAAGCCATTTATTGAATACATATGATAGAGTTTATATCTTGTTGTCTTAGTAGTAAAATAATCAAAGGATTATTTTAGTGAAACACTGCCATACTACAGAGTGCCAAAAAGGATTTTCAAAATACTACATTTAACCCAAATGTAAAACTTTAAAATGATTCCAATCTGTTCTATCACATGACTTAATTAATTGCATTTTATGAGTGTTGACTATAATCATTTCTATGTCAACTTCACAATGTAGGGTAGTCCCTCCCACTTTCTTAGCCCCAGGAGAAGTGCTGAATTTTTTTGTTATAAAGGGACTTTTATTCCCCTTCTCCATCAGCATTTTGTCTTAAAGTGCATGTTCTCTTCCATTTTTAGCTTAAAGTATGGCAATGAGTTTAAAAGTGGAACTCTTTGGGATCGGTGCCATAATCTCAATGGCTTCATCAATAACAGCTAGATCGTGGGGAGTGAGGTTGTCTCCTCGCTGTGCCCAATGAACTAAAGACAATTCTCTCTATTTTCTCTGTGGACTCTTCTGCTTGCCAAAATGTTTTCTGCACAAAACCATCCTTGCAGCAAAGTTGTGGCCAAGTAGCCAACTTCTCACTTTTTTATCGGAGAGCTTCTGTAACTGAGCCTCTGAAAGATTGCAGTTGATACTTGAGTTTGCATAGTGGCAATGGTGTAAGAGTCTGGTTGGAAAGGCAACTGCCGGGGGTCCGATAAAGGCAAAGCATTACAGTCTATTAATTCTTCTGTTAATTTCCTAGCGCTGCCATGACTAATTACCACCAACTTTGTGGCTTAACACGACAGATTGATTCTCTCATAGTTCTAGAGGACAGAAGATTAAAATTGAGGGGTTCGCAGGGCCACGCTTGCTCAAAAGGCTCTAGGAGAAGAGTTTTTCTTGCCTTTTCTGGCCTCTGGGAGTCCCAGATATTCCTTGGTTTCTGGCCATGTCTTTCTAGTCTCTTGCTTTGTCTCAACACGGTCTTCTCCTCTTCTCTGCGTGTCTCTTAGACGGACACTTGCTGTTGGAGTTAGTGCCCACCCAGCTAATCCAGAATGGTCTCATCTCAAGATCCTGAATTTGATTACATCCACAAAGACTTCTTTTTCCAAATAAGGCCATATACGCAGGTTCCGGGGCTAGGAAGTGAGCGTGTCTTTTGAGGGCCACCGTTCAGCCCGCTACAATCTCTATCACATGTATACATTGCCTGAGCAAAACAGGGGCCAGGGAAAGGTGTAAAAAGTGACTTCTAATCGCTTCTCCACCTTGTGGCTAAAATTAAATGTAAAAAGTTGCTTCTAAGACACTAATCCCATTCCAGCCTTTTCTTACTCTGTGAGTTTGGCTCAATTTAACATTACATAATGCAGGTTTTTCTTATTAATTCATTTCATCTCCATCATTATGTAGCTTCATTATGGGCATCATGCTTATAATTTTCATATCACTAAAACTATTGTGCTGTAATGTCCCTGTAATGGGAAAACAGAAATGATCAGATATTATCTAAATTGGCAGATAGTAGATTTCTTGTGACTTTGTTAATATGTAATTCATTTAAGCAAACTTAATATCCATTAACTTTCCTTGTAGGGGCCCATTAGCTTTAATAATACATTAACTCCTTTGTGAAACCTGAGTAGACATTCACCCAGTCCCTGCCCCTAAACTCTTTCAATGTCCCCAGAGTATCTTCCAAATAGAATATAGCCCCACCCATCTATGAAATTACACTCACTCCCAAATGCAAAATATTTTAAGCACTACACCTCCTACCTCTTGGAAGACTTGACAATGATCTTTATAAGCCTTGTCTTCCATATTCTGTAGGTTCAAGAGAGATTTGTCCTTCTAAGAACAAGGAATAAAGCTGCATATCTGAATCCATTTGACTTCAGTCTTAGAGTACTGCTAGCCCTCAAACACAGGGAAGTGACCAATGCCTTCCAAAAACGAAGACATACCCATTGATCATTTTTAACTCTAACATGGCACTGTTGCAGGGTTCTTGTCTCACAGAGTTGAAGAATGAATCTTGCAGGCGATAGGGTGAAGGAAGTGGAAATTTCTTAGGGGAAGGTGAGAACAGAAAGGAAAGCTCTCTAGAGTGACAGGGGTCCCAGATGGGTTGCCACTGAGGGCTTTTTATGGTCGGTCTTTTATAGAAAACTGACCAGGGAACTTGACAAATACCTCATCTATAAATTTAGGACAAACAAGGTGGATTTGTAAATATTATGAAAATATCTCATCTATATTTAGAACAAACAAGGTAGATGTGTTAGATTTCCTTCTTTCTAGTTAATATCTTGTCTATAGTATTTCTCCACATCTGGGGTTTCTGTGAGCCTGGTTACAGAGCCCCCTACCTGTCTCTCCCTGCCTAGCCTCTCCTGTCCCTTACTCAGCACCTTTTTATGGAAGACTATTGTTTTTTGTTTTTGTTTTTGTTTTTGTTTTTATCCATAGTGAGCCACACAGGCATTTTCTTCTTGATACTTCATTTTTTTCGGAATGTATATAAAGAGAAAGTCTTTTTACATAAAAGAAGGTTAAGAGTTGCCAACCATTATATTAATCTGACTAGGAATTGAGAGTCTTCTTTGGTATCTTAAGTAAGACTGGTGCTCAAGAAAGTCACCAGACAGGGCATCTGGGTGACTCAGTCGTTTAAAGCATCTGCCTTCGGCTCAGGTCATGATCTCCAGGGTCATGCAATTGAGTCCCAAGTTGGGCTCCCTGTTCAGGGGGAGTCTGCCCCTCCTCCCACTCGTTCTCTCAATCTCTCTTTCTCTCAAATAAATAAAATCTTTTAAAGAAAGAAAGAAGGAAGGAAGGAAGGAAGAAAAGAAAGAAAGAGAAAATAAGTCGTCTGATCGTTCACTACCCTCCATTCCTGGAGCGCTGCTAACAACTTGGCGGAGTCAGCTAGGAATTCCTTAAGTAGCTCCTCCAGACACAACTGGAATCCTCTACCTCATTTCCTACCAGCTTTTCTCTCCTGAACACCAGCAGCTCTGCCGTAAGAGACTCCTGCCTCCGATGCCTAAGGCGCTTGGTCCTTGGGCGCTAAGGCTTTGTTCGTCGTTGGCTAGCGCCAGTGGTTCAACCCCATCCCTCTTATGGCTCTCTCTAGACGAGCAGCACCGGTGTCTTGATGGCAATGAGAAGAGATACTTAAATACATGAGATTCAGCAGCCAGTCTGCGTGGATGGGGCATCATTTTGGATACTCTATGAGGAGTATTAGACCCTCATTTTGTAATTGGCCCAAACCCTTAGCATCAATCAGCATTTCTTAACCTTCTTAAAAACCTCTTTAGAAGTTCCATGGACCTGGAGAAGATGAACAAAATCACATATCCACCATATTTTGCTTCCAATATAAAGAGTCTGTTTATCCTACAGACTTCTAACTTCATTTATTCGAGGACCAGTTTTCCCATATCCACAGATAATCCATACTCTTCACTCATTTAGAATTTGTCTTTAAGTCACTTTATTGCTTTTCCCTAACAAAGGCCTGTGAAAAAATATCAAATTAGGAATTTTATTTTGCTATGTGTGTTATGCTTAGTAAACATCAAAATAAATACATAAGTATTTTTAATGTCCTTTTCTTTGCTACCTAAAAAGATTTTTTAATAATATCATTTATAAGCGTTAGGTTATTACCAGGAAATACTGAACTGGTCCGTGGACCTCACAATAAGAACAGCTCTTTTCTGGGTAAATGAGACTGCCTTGGGGAACTCTAACCTGTTGGAACCGGTATTCATTATATTCACTTGGTTCAGTCCTGGCCCATTTTGCTACATGAAGCCTTCTGGGAACTGTTTTCTACCTCATCTAAGACCAATGGCTATTAACCAGGATATGACCAGAGTTACATGACAGACAATGGATTTGAGTTCTGTATAAACTACGTGCTTTTAAGAAGCTATTTTTTTAAAAAGGAAATAGCGAAGACCTACATTGTAGATTTTTCAACAGCTTACTTTAAATCTGACGGGGAAAGGAGGAGAGGTAAACTGGAGAGCTGCCATATTGCATAGAAGACAAGGCTTGAGCTATAACTTGGAATTGCTTTTGTCTTGTGGATTTAAGTCCTAATTAATTGAACACAGAATTTTGCAGTGTTTGTTTGTTAGGACCCTTATTTGTGGTACCAGGAGAAATTGTTGTGCCCAATTATGTGAAAAATCAGCCAGATGTGTATGCTGTCATACTTTTAATAATCTTTAAGTTCGTGGTGAGTACAGATATTAATTGTGTAGTATGCATTGAAGTGATTAACATCAATGTAATTTATCATCTGGAGATTTCTGAACATAAATAAATGAGTTGTTTTGTTCAGCAAGGTGTTGACCCCTTCAGAATTAGTGAATTAAAGCCCCCCCTCTTTTTATTATAAATATGAAAGGCACCACAATCAGCCAAGTGTTCAGTTATTTGATTTTCTGGGGCATTAGCCGCTCTTGTTTGTGACATTTCCCTGTTGGGTGCTCGTTTGCAAGCTCATTAATAAGGTTTTCTCATAGGAACGTTGCTGGGAATGAAGAACATACAGTAGGGCTCTTAGTTTTCTGGCTTTCATTGTGAGGC